GGATCCAAGCAAGAGAGAGAAGAAGAGAAGAGAAGGAAGGAGTTCCTCCTCGACAGCCGCCGGACCACCGCAGAATCTCGCCGGACCACCGCCGGACCACCGCAGGAATCTCGTCGGACCACCGCCGGACCACCGCAGGAACATCGCCGGACCACCACAAAACCTCGCCGGACCACCACCTTAAGTCGCCGGACCACCACAAAACCTCGCCGGACCACCACAAAACCTCGCCGGACCACCACAAAACCTCGCCGGACCACCACCTTAAGGCCCGACGTTCATCCCCGAGAGACATTTAACGTAAAGCACTTGCAAATGGGATGATATTTTGTTTTGAGATCTGCGAATAGTTAGGAGAAAATTATCTTGCGTCAGTCAATTGGTTCGAGACAATCATCGAACTCATCAGTTCAACATCGAATACAGTAAAAATGACGTAACACTCTAAATTTACCTCTGACGCTGTCCGTACCATACAAATAATTTTCCTCTGTTGGACGGCTAATTTAGCTTGTGTTGGAATTTTTTATTCTATTTTGTTAGCTAGACTATTTTAGTAACAATTTATTTGAAAATAAGAAAAAACAGCGATCTAGAAAAAAAGTCGCAAAACACAGCTTCATTTGTTCCAAAATATAAATAATATATATATATCCTTATATATTATAAAATATTATATATATATATATAATATATAATATATATATGTATATACTATCATATATTATATATATATATATACATTCATTTTAATAAAAATTTAAATATTGAAGTACATGAGTTTTTTATATTATAATAATGACATGGTAAAGCAAGCTGCTATTTTTGCTGTTTTCTTATATTTTCTGAAGCAATTTTTTAGTACAGAATTTTTAGTTTAAAAAACTTATTAGAAAATAAAAGAAACCATCAACAATGGAACCTAAGAGGTTGAATGTCTTAATATTTATATAAAAATTTACACATGTACAGAAGAAAGAAAGGAAACTGCCAACAAAACTCCATA